CACTTTGTCATTATGGGGTACTGAGTGTAGATTAATGAGAAAAAGAATGAATTTGAACGATTGTAATATCAGGCTGCAACATAACAAAATTGAAAAAAGTGAAGGGCGTCTGAATACTTTCTGAATGGACTGTATATGTGTGCTATGTGTGTATGTATGTATGCACACACACATACACACAGTACACACACACATATGAAATAGTTTTACAAAAGGAGTACTTTATACATAATTCATTTTAATACATAATTCATTTTAATCAATCATTAGTTAATAAAAAATAATTTTTTGTCCTAGCTGTGCTCAGAGTGAGGCCTCTGGCCAGTGTATGTAAACACATATTTATATTCACAAACAAATAAACATGCATGTACACATTTGTTGTGCAAAAAAAATCCAGGATTGGTTTAGTGGCATCTGTCAGTCTTAGTTGACTAGTTTGAAAGATGGATAGTGGATGACAGGGTGTTCATAATTTTTTTTTCCTGTCTAATCTTACTTTTTGGAATTGTCTTAAATTCAGTGTTGTGTTCCTTTGGATTAAATATCTTAGTCAAATCAACTATATGTTTAGATTTCAAAGGCAGAGAAATATTTATAGAGGGAAGAACAATCCTACAACAGTTATGCTATAGTTGATGAAGATTAAAAGGGGTTGAACTGAGAAGTTTCAAACCTTGGCCACTAGAAATATGTACATCCTTTCTGGTTTGTAAAATATCCACAGCATTTCTAATTACTAATAGCATTTCAAAGTTTTCTTGGAAGTATAGCAACATAATCTCATTTTATTTTGAAGAAAAATTGAGGATAGATTCAGATTACCATTCAATCCAAATTTTAGATTAGTGTTTTGTGATACAACCATGAGGATGTGAAGTACTGTATATTTTTCAGAGTGCAGTTTGTGTGTTTATCAATGGATCACGATTCTGGGTGTGGACACAGTATAAAGCCTTCATAGCTGGCCACCATTTGTGGTTGGTTCTTCTCACCTGTACACTATGGAGAAAGGATATCAGCAATCAAACAGTGAGAATTCCTTTTGTTTCTTCTGGGGAATAATCTAGACACAACATACATGATTTTTGTAGGGATCCATCACCCAATTTTTTGCTGCTAATTGGGTGTTTCTCTTTCAATTTTAAGAAGACATGTTGTTAGGAGTGGGATGAGAGAAAAAAGAGTGCTGATTGGGACTTTTCTTCCTTCCAAAAAAATAATAGCAGATGTAAGAAACAAACAAACTGTATGGTTGTTAATGATTCAATATATGTTGTTACTTTAGTGCTTTCTAAGTACAATGAAATACAAATACAATGGTTCTACCCCTTCCTTGATCCCTTAGATTTTTGTTAGAAGGAATATTTTCTCAGTCTGTGGTGGCATAGTTGTCATTTGGAATCAAGGAGGAATCCTCTCACTATTTGTCAGTACCATGAAGTGAGAGCCTGGCCTCTCGACTCAGTTTTCCTTCGAGGATACATCTTAGGGAAACACAAGAATTTTCACATCACTGCTAGTTTTCCAGAGTACAACAGAAATGTTACAATGGAGACAGGTATAAAGTTCACCAACACAATGCAGTCCAGGTGTTTTGGACCAACTCCTATCATTCCTGAAGAAAACCGTGCTGCCTGAGACTCATCCAAAATAGTTGTATAGCTTGGATTGGTTGTCACCAGGAAAAGTTTCATGGTTGCCAGTGACAACTAATTTTTGAAATTGTGACATTTTAACTGCTAGTGACTTTGATGTACATCTTTGCATTGATCGTGCAAATTATTGCATAGAAAAGGAGAATTAGCCACTCTGAATGGATAGCACAGCACCAAGAGGAGATTCTTCTGGTAATTTTGGGCACCCAAG